GCAAATGTTAATGCGGTGCCGTGTGGAGCTTCGGGATCGGATTGGTACTATCTGCTTCCATAGCACAAAGGCTTTTCGTAAAACCGTGAGATCAAAAGTTTTTTTTTTTTTAAAAGAAAAAAACTTTTTGGATATGCGCGAAAAATGTTTTTGGAACTTGGGAGTCGCACCCCACCCTACATATATAGATATGACTTGGAAGAATTGTCAGCCAAAGTTAACATAATTTCCCTCCAGACGTTCGGGCATCTTTGGTCTAATCTTTGGCGTCTAATAAATTACATTTTATTTTTCACTCTTCCAAAAATTCGGTATTTACTGTACACAAAATTAAACAGTGCAGATAGTCCTCGGCTTACAACAGTTCATTTAGTGACCGTTCAAAGTTACAATGGCGCTGGAAAAAGTGACTTATGGCCATTTGTCAGAACATGTAACATCCCCATGATCATGTGATCAAAATTCAGATGCTTGGCAACTGGTTCATACTTACGACCATTGCTGTGTCCCAAGGACATGTGATCACTTTTTGCAACCTTTTGGCAAGCAAAGTCAATGGGAAAGCCAGATTCAATTAACAACTGGGTTATTAACTTATCAACTGCAGTGATTCACTTAACTGTAGCAAGAAAGGTCGTAAAATGGGGCAAAACTCACTTAACAAATGTCTCACTTAACAACAGAAATTTGGGGCTCATTTGTGGTCGTAAGTTACGGACTACCTGTATATGAGAGAAAGACTGAACTCTTTATCTACCTTGAATGCCTTTACAAGGTTACATAGATGCCTTTACAAGGTTACAAAGATGATTACAAATATCATAAGCATGCTTTATAAGTGAGATCTTTAAAGGCCTTTTCTAGATCTATGGTATTTTAACAAAACATTCTATTTATACATTGCCAAATTGATATAGCCCTTCACTTCCTCTCCCATTTTAATAAGAACAGTTAAAAACTAGTGGTTGAACAAGTTTAGCAGGTTGGGTTGATGGTTTTACTGTCTGCCTTTTCCCTAAGAAGGATCATTGCTCTACATATGGGACAATTTCCCATCCCCTTTTGCATAAAAAAAACTCCATACAACCTGTAATCTGAAATAGATACAGATTTGGGATGTTTCTGGGAGTACTTTGTCTCGTGTTTGTAACGTCTTTCTTAAAATCTGATGAGGGGAATAGTGAGTTCAAGCACTGTTATATAATGTGAATCTGTGAAGCCCAATCAATTCTTAACCTGTAGATTGAAATATACTGCTCAAAAAAATAAAGGGAACACAAGCAGAAGATATCCGAGATCTGAATGAATGAAATAGCTTTATTAAATACTTTGTTCTTTACATACAGTAGTTTATATACTGCCCAAACAACTAAAGAGAACACAAAACTACTGTATGTAACGAACAAAATATTTAATAAGGCTATTTCATTCATTCAGATCTCGGATGTCTTCTGCTCGTGTTCCCTTTATTTTTTTGAGCAGTATATATCAGTTATTATCCTCCAAAGGGCAGTAATTTGGTAGTGCATCACTCCTGAAGCATCACTGGATGAGAATGATAACACAAAACCCATCATGTCTGGAGTTTCTCTGTTATCCAGGTTATGGTTGTCCCAAAAGTGTTGTTCAAAAGACAACTGGGATTTCTTGGTTTTTTCCTTCCTTGTCCAAGAAGCTTCTTCATTGGGAAAAAAAAATCAAGACAGTCCAGTTGCCTTTTGAACAACACCTTTGACCCATAATATTTCTACTAACTCATCATTATCACAAGTTAAATCACATATAATAAGACCAGTCTCCAAGAATCCCTTTAAAAGTTGTCATCAAGCTGTACTGTTGATTTAATGGGAATGTATTAAATATATAAGAAGTAATAGTATATATTTAATTGTACTTAAAATTTAATACAAATTAATCCGAATATTAATTTTGTTTTGGCCCTACCACTCAAAGCTCAAATCCAGCACTCGGCTACAAAAGGTAGCAGATCACTAATGCTTAAGAATTGTTATAATAATAGTAGTAGTAGTAGTAGTAGTAATAATAATAATAATAATAATTATTATTATTATTATTATTATTATTATTATTATTATTATTATTATTATTATTATTATTTTATTTCTATACCGCCCTTCTCCCGAAGGACTCAGGGCGGTGTACAGCCAATTTAAAAACACAAGACACAACAATAATTAAAAATTAAAATAATTAAATAGATTTGGCCGATTTAAAACCCCAAAAATTAAAATACCCCAATTTAAAATTATTATATCGACAGCCCTGCCTGGCGGAACAACAGGGTCTTCAGTGCGCAGCGGAACACCCGGAGGTCGGAGATCTTACGTATTTCCGGGGGCAGTTCATTCCACAGGGTTGGGGCTCCCACAGAGAAGGCCCTCCCCCTGGGTGTCGCCAGCCGACATAACTTGGCTGATGGCACCCTGAGGAGACCCTCTCTGTGGGAACGGACTGGTCGGTGGGAGGCTATTGGTGGCAGAAGACGGTCTCGAAGGTACCCGGGTCCTGTGCCATGGAGCGCTTTAAAGGTGGTAACCAACACCTTGAATCGCACCCGGAAGACCACTGGGAGCCAGTGCAGCTCGCGCAGGAGGGGTGTCACGCGGGCACGAGGTCCGCCCATAACCACCCGCGCGGCTGCATTCTGGACCAGCTGGAGCCTCCGAGTGCTCTTCAAGGGGAGCCCCATGTAGAGAGCATTACAATAGTCCAGCCGGGAGGTGACAAGGGCATGAGTGACCGTGCGCAAGGCGTCCCGGTCCAGAAAGGGCTGCAACTTGATGAATAAATTCTTTACCAGACTAATCAGAGGTCCATTTGGTTTAGGTTTAGGTATGAGGTATATTTGAATAAATCAAATATATCTCATAATTCATTGTGATTCTCATCAAGATGAATAAAACATGTAATTTGATAATATTAAAATTAGAGAATCTCTTTAGTGCTTCCTGCATAAGAAAACTATGTTATTGCATTGGCTATGAAGAGCCTGCCAATGTTAAAAAAACCAAATGAATGTGCTTAAACACATCTAATTCTCTTTGAGCAACTCAGTCTGTAGAAAATCCTCTTTTTAGAATCTCAGATCAATCTTTCACAATTTTCTTATTTACTCAGTAAATAAGCTATCTTGACCTCTGTTTTACAGATTTTATAACTGAAGTTCAGATTAATCAAGTATTTTGTCATAACATCTTTATCTTCAGTAGATATCCTTAAAAATCTAACATGTGATTTAGCAACAAACTCAGTAGTTTATTTCCCTTGGGTCAACAAGTCCAAAACATAAATCCAAAATTTTATCCATCTTGAAAGTATTATAGACTTCTCTTTTTGTGTCCGTCTCTATCCTATGTAATGTTGTATGATAGCTTGCTGGGTATACAAGTGATTGAAGTGGAAAAATGGAGAGATATCTCTTAATTCTGATCATCTTTGAAACATTTTAGTTCACTTTAGTGGTATGTGCTTTTCCTCTTTTGTATTTTTGACCACCCAGGGTCACATTATTGGAATTGGCCACTATATAAAAGTTCTAAATAAATAATTTGCAAGTTGTGCTTTGACTAGCAGCATTGTGGAGATCCAAAGTGGCACTCGGCTCTCCCAGGTGATAAAAGGGATCCTTTGTTGATGGGATGAACATTTGGCTAGTAAATGATAATGCAGATTTTCATGCTAGGGCAAAACTGGTACCTCATTGGGCCTTATTTCCTTCTAAAAGTAGAATACCACTCATTTAGTAGTTTATAATGATGATATTCTGAATCCAGTCTGTTCTGGGCTAAAAAATAACAACAACCCACAGGCCACACCAACCAATTTGGTGTAGTGGTTAGGGCTTCAGGCTAGAAACTGAGACATTAGGAATTCTAGCCCTACCATAGGCACAAAGCTAAGTGATGACTTTGGGCCAGTCATTCTCTGATGGAAGGAAGGACGGAATGAGCTGGTATTCAGCCGGTTCAGACTGGTTCGGGCGAACTGGTAGCTCCAATGATCAGCTGGCCCCACCCACCTGCCCCTGCCTATCCTTTATTTCCTGCTTTCTAGCTCATCTCAATCGCGCGCACAGCTGATTTCCCCTTCCCCTCGCTGTTCTACTTACTGTTGCTGACTTGGAAGGTAAGCAGCTGAGCTTCTAAATGCCCCATTTTCAGCGTGAAGCACTCACTCACCGAACCAGTTGTTAAACCGGCAGCATCCCACCACTGGAGGGAATGGCAAACCATTTCCGAAATCTTACCAAGAAAAGTGCAGGGACTTACTAGGCAGTCACAAAGAGTCAAGACTGACGTGAAAGCACCCATCCACTCACCCAGCACACACATGTATACTGCTCACAAAGGTAAAGCCATCAGATGTGGGCTGCTGAAGCCAGTTGATAACTAGATAGCAGAAAAGAGCTGTGGGGAAATCTCTGCTGCCATCTGTAGGCTCCATAATATTTTGTATCCCAAAATATTCAAGAGTATGATTATATGCATTACAGGTAGGCCTCTCTTAGTGGCTCTAATTGCAATTCCACCACTAAGTGCACCACAGTAGTGAGTTGCAAAACCCGTCGCTACTGGTTCGCTTGTGCGCTCGCACTCGCGCGATGCTTCTGCTCATGTGCAGAAGCGTCCGGCACGGGTGGGCGGAGCCTCCTACCACCGCCGCTACCAGTCCGGCGATCCAGGTAGAACCCAATAGCAACCCACCACTGGTGCACCAGTCATTAAGCAAAACATCACATGATTGCCTCACACTTGGCTTCTCCATTTTGGCTTTCTTTTTGTTTCATAAATGACGACATGGTGTAATATGTCATGTGTTGTTGTTCATCTGAGGCTGTATTTTATCTAGTTTTAAGAACTGCTAAGGACCAGATGATTTTTACTATGGCCTCAGACATATAACCATAGCATTCAAATAGTGTGTACTTTCTTTTTCACATGACTGTATTTTGCTTTGGAAAGGAAAAGGACAGTAAGTGCTTTTATTCTTTTGTAAAAATTAAAAAGTAATTTTTATTTGTCAACTTTTTTAACTGCTACAAGTCGTATGATCAGAACAGAGCAACACTCTACAATAAAATTAACATCTATAGTATACAGTAATCATGGCTGGAAAACATTACAATTAATAATTCTGCATTGTAGCACTGGTCTCTCATTGAATGTCTCTGATAATTCCAGTTCCCGGAGAACTTCTGAGCCCTCGATCACCTGTCTAAAGTAATAATTTAAAAAGAAACCTAAGTAAATCCTTGGAATTTATGTCAGTTGGATTGGTATTAAACCATAGTTTAAGAGTACTATTTTTTTGTTTATTTATTTGAAATCTATGGCTGACCATCTTAAAATACAACTCTGGGCTGCTCTTAGCAGTAATAAAATTATAAACCATATAATCAGGAAAGAAAAACTAAAATGAACTAAAAAACCTGGCACCCCAACCATCTTCTAGGATTCCCCAATAGTCACCCACCAGCTTTTATCACTTTGCCCTAATGCCTGGAAAAACAGCCAGGTCTTGAAGACTTTTCAGGAAGCTAAAAATATGGGCTGCCTGCTGGATTGTTGGCAGGATGATGTTCCACAAGATAGATTAATGCAGCTACCTCACTTCAGTGAATCTTCCCACTAATATTGCTTTGAGTTCCATGATAGAAGAAAGACAGGAGAGAAACATTAAAAAAGAAAAAAAAGAAAAGAAAATGTTCCTATGTTTCAGTTACATCATTTATACTTGGGATACCCAGAGTGACGTTTTACACATACCCAAAAGCCACATATTTGGTATTCAGATATGGTGCAGCTTGTAATGTGATGTAGAATTGGGACCCGTTGGTGTGACGTCCTTTGTTGACCATTCCAAGAATCCCTCTCTTATCATGGGGAACTGCAAAATTTTCATCTAAAAACAGTACAATAAACAATATATAAGTGTGCATGTGTGGATATACAGTACCTACATATAAACATACGAATACCAAGGCTGATGAAACTGTCTTTAGCCCCATTGAATTAACCTGCACAAGTTAAAAAGTCTTGATTAGTCAATCCAGAGGTCATTTTCTAAGTCTTTCCAGTTCTTGCAAAAGAGGCTGGGAGGCTGTTGCTTCCCTTTTAATAGCCCTCTTTCCCTGATCCTTCATCACACCATAATAGTCCCATAATACATAGTACCATAATACATAGTCCCACTTGTTTCTGTGTATGGTTTTACTCCCCATTAGAGTGGAGTTGGAGTGCGGGTAGACATGCCTTGTTTTTGCAGAGCATCTCTGAGATTTCTTGATTATGGACACCAGAAGGAGCAGTTTACCTCTCAGGTGACATGGATCGAATCATTTTATATATGGGGAGTTGTGTTTGGCCCTAAACAGACCTGGTTGGGGCTAAAACCAGGTTTCTCTTTATTCTCTTCCTGGCTCCCTGCAAATAAGGCTATAGTGTAAGCACAGTTCTCTATGGCCAACTAATTTACTTTTTCTAGTGTTATATTGGCTTGTCTGCTTGCCTTAATTCATTGTAATATCTATAATGCAACCAGAAAAAAGTATTAATCATTTCCAGTTTTAGACAGAAAGATGAGGAATACCTATTATGTACAATTCACAAATACACCTCAAAATCGAGGTCCCCACTATTCCATATCATGACAATGAGTTGCTCTGTGGTTCCTAGGAATAGTCTATTGCTCTCCATGCTTATCAACTTCTTCTATAGCTTTACTTCTCCTGGTGATGATGGCCAAAAATCAAACACCTTGTGAACAATCGAGAATTTGGAATATATGAGTTCTAAACTGCTTTTGAATCTCTTCAGCTCAAACCTGACCCTTTTTATGAGGAAGTGAAAATGGAAAGTGGCACTTGTAATACAAATGGTTGGCATTTGCATTACACTGATTAAAGTAAGAGTTTCAATATCTCCTTAACTCTTATTTTACACTATTTCTTTCAATTCTGTTTCTCTTAGAAAATTATTTTTTACATTTAGGATATAATCATTGCCTATGATATTTGTGAAACCTGCTATTTATGTAGGACCAGCTTTGTTTAAGAAAATACTACCTTCAAACACGGGTCCATATATCGATTCACCTCCATTTCCTTTTCCACCATCTATATCTATGTACATTATGAAAAATAAAATAAAATTATACATTATTTTTTATATCAGAAAAGAGAATTTTAAATGACACTGTCATGTATAATATTATGATTTGTAATGTTTGTCTTTAAGCAAAATTAGGAAAAATATCAGAAAAGGAAAAAGGAAAAGCACAAAACTATATATAAATGAATATTTTACAGATTATCTATGGGAACCATTATAATGGTTCTCTTTCACTGAAACCGTTTCTAGAACTTTACATGCATATCCATGCTTTTGAAGCTCTTATATATTTCATGACATTGGGAAGAGTGTTACTGTATATTAGTTTAATGGTTATTATTAACAAATCCTGCAATATAGGGAACTCATAATATTAGTTGTGGCTGAAATACATCTTCCGACATCCAGGATTGATCATGTTTGTTTGGATTCCTGGGGAGCATAATTCAGCAGCAGTCAGAGGACCACAAGTTCCCATATTTTGTTGTAACAGAAAGCCCAAAACATCTTTATGTCAAATACATAATGACTATTCTATGTTTAGGCTTGCTTCTATCTAAATAAAAGGCTTCCATCCAGATAAATTTATATAAAATTTAAATTTTGTGTAAAAATTCCCCCATGTTTTATTCCGCCCCCATGCTTGTGATTATCTAAAATATAATTCTTATCTAAAGGTTTGGTTTTATTCTGATGATGGGAAGGAAGAACACTCTCATATGCTGGGTAGTATACCAAACTTGTCCCTTCACTTTTTTTTTGAAGAGTTTACAATACATACCTCCTCCTTGTATCCAGCCATTTTTTACAATTCGATGAAAAATTGAATCCTTGTAAGTGAGTTCCAATCCAGACTCAGAGTATCCTTTCTCTCCTGTACATAAACACTTGAAATTATGGCATGTTCTGGGGCAAATATCAGAATAGAGCTGGACAATAGAAGAATATGGAAAATTTCAGAAGCTCAGTTCCTGAGGTCAGTGGGAAAGGAAACATTACATTAATTTATGAGATGAATGGATCACAATTACTTCTGTATATACCAGGTATTTTATCAAAGATTGTGACATCTTTTAAAAACGAGAGTTTTATCCTCATGAGAAAAGACAATGCATTTTAAAATGGGAACAAAGAAACATGATTCAGAGATTGAGGTCTTGAGCATGTCCTCCTTCTGTTATCTGTTCTATTATTTTATGGTGACATAAAATTACTTTTCTGCCTCAGTCCAACTGCTCACTATCATTTCACCCATCTCAGCCAACCAATAAAGCAATAAAGCTAACAGCCCTTGGCAATGGTGTTGCCTCTCTTTTGGAACACATGTCCCTCGCCAAGGAGCTCTCCTGGCAATTTTTCAGCTGTGTTTCAGGAGGCAATTTGTCTTTTTCTTCTAAAGAGCTTTTAGTTTAAGTTTTAAGAGAGGGAATGGACAGATTTATTTTCCATGGTGTTATATGATAACTTACTAATTTTAGTATTTGCATGTTGTAATAGCGTATTTTACATTTACTGTGAATCATTTGCAAATGTTCACAAGGACAAAGGTGCTTTTTCAACAGGCAAATGGACTTTCCGGTTTGTTTGTTTTTTTGAAGACGTTTTGCTTCTCATCCAGAAAGCTTCTTTAACTCTGGCTGGATGGTGAGGAGAGCTGAAGAACAGAGGTGGGATTCACATAATTTACCTCCAGGTTCTCCCAGCATTGAAAATGTGAGTGTGCGCATGGTCTCGCTTGGCTCACATGTGCCACCTCCACACATGCACCCGGCCTTCCATGCGTGCGCTTTGCTCACATGTGTGCCTTCCGCGCATGCGCCCAGCCTCAAAAACGTGCCTAAATAGGACAGCATAGAGCTGGGGCGGGCCCACCACGATTTCTGCTACAAATTGGTCTGAACTGGCTCAATACCCCCTCTGCTGAAGAAGCTTCTTTGATGAGAAGCAAAACGTCTTCAAAGAAAAACCAGATAGTCCAGTTGCCTCTTGAAAAAGCACCTTTGGGACAACCGTGATCTGAATGACTGAGAATCTCCACAGACATTCACAAGGACACAGTGCAGAAATTCAAGATACGTGCATACACACAAATACCCAGAGACGGGGAGGGGGAGAGGGAGAGAGAGAGAGAGAGAGAGAGAGAAAACTGCTTGATTAGAAAATTTATGGCACAATGCTAAACATGTTTAGAGAGAAAGAAAAAAGTTTGAGGAGTTGGCAGTAAGAGTCTATTGGATTGCCGCTTTAATAAATCCTTTTGAGTTTTAAACATTTAATTCATCAAATAAGCATCAGCTTGCATTTGAAAAAAAATCTAAATCAAAATATATTTGTTTTATGTTCTGAGGAGTCATTGCATCAACTTTAAAAGCATTCCTTTCTCTTTGTTACACATATGCCTATGCATGCATATACAAGGTATAAGGGATTGTACTTTCTAAGGTGACACTATTCATATTGAATTTTTATGTAGTTATATAAAAATTGGTGTAATAAAATTTGCATCTTTACACCCATTAGTGGGCCTAAGAAAATATTTTAAAATAAAACTGACTGATCAAACCAATATTTTTTGACCAGGATGAACCCACAAAATTTAGGCTCAAGAGACCGGAAATGTTGTACACACTATTGCATTGTCATCTAAATAATTCTTATGAGTAGTCATTCTTCAACTTCATTCATGTTCCAATGTGTAATTGATCTCACATCAGGAATTGGATCTTAAGTGTTTTAAGTAACCGTTTCAAACATAAATGTATTTGCTTCCATGTGCAAGATAAAAACAAGGATTGTTTGTCTTTTCCTTGGGCAACTTACCTCAAAGAGCAATTTTCCAGTCGAAACTTCCTGAACTGCTATTTCCATGAAAACAAATATATGCTGCCAAGATAAAGAAACCAAACCCTATGGTTAAAGTAGAACCGAGTGAGTGAATCACTGGATAAAGATTGCTCCCTTCTGACTCTGAGTCATGCTTCAGAAGGTAAAGGGTCAAATTCCAGTAAGTAGTCAATTTCACCAGCATTTCCCTGAAGCTATGACTTGTCAATATTTTACTATTAGAAGGCTTGATCAATAACCGTCAACTAAACTTTCAAAGAACTCAGACATCATATGGATGAGTCTGGAAAGCATTCCAGGGTACATGTTTATAGCAGGGGCTCAGGCTCTTAGATCAAATGTGAACTGAGAATACATAGAACAATGTATCTGTGAAATTTAAGCAACCTATTTACATTAGGTAGTCAAGCTGTGTTTTAAGGGTTGAATTAATTCCTGATCATCCCCAGGTTTTCCATTTCTTCACTGTTCCTGAACCTCTGCTGGGAAGGGTGTGCCAAAGCTTCATAAACCGTTCTATGAAGGCACTGCATGGACTCAGTGAAGTAAATGGATAGCTTTGGATAGTGAGGTAGGTGGCGTATAAATTCAGTAATAAATAAATAAATAAATAAATAAATAAAAATAAAATGAACGGAATGAAAGTCACCACATAAACCAGGATATTGAAAGCACATCTGTCAAGGAACAGCTTGGTCTGCAAACATGCCACAGTTGAAACTGTCTGAAGGCAACAATGTTTTTTTTTTTTTAAAAAAGTAAGTATAATGTAAATTAGAGAAAATGATACTGAAAATATGGGTGTTTTTTTAAAAAAACAACTCTCCTCCTTTTTGAATGATTAGAATAAAATTATTTCCAGCTTCATTATACCACTTCTATTTTAGCAGGCATTAAGCCTGAGATCAAAACAGTTTTTACAAGTTAATCTGTGAACTTTCACAGTGAGTGATCACCTATGTTCCAGAATGCATTCTTGAGATGGTGGGAGCCTTTCTTGTGAGCTTTTCGGATCATTTTGTCCCCAAAATGGATTGATAATGTAGTCCAGGAGTGTCAAACTCCCGGCCCATGGGCCAGATGTGTCACGTTCTGGCCACGCCCACCCCTGGTTTAGTGAAGGGAAGGTTATGATATGTCATGTGATAACGTGTCATCATGAGTTTGACACCCCTGATGTAGTCCGTTCAACAAGCCTTTTATGGTAAAGGGCCAAACATTTATTTTCCATTCCAGATCTGAGCTGCACCAAAACTTCCATATCATATACATTGCCAATTTTTGCATCAGACTCGGCAGGAACTCACAGCATTCCAGACACTTTACCCTTATTAAACACTTGGCTTGATTTGGCAGAAAACTCTCAGATGTGAAATGGCTATAATAGAATCTTTATACCAGTTAAGAGTGAAGCCCTAAACTAAATTGTTTGTTTACTCACAGCCATACAAAGAATTCACAGCCTTCAGATGCAGCTATACTTCAATATGTAGGCTTTTTCTTCCTGCTCTTCTGAATTCATGATATTGGCCACTCTCATATGGCCTTGAGAGACAGCTGACAGATGTTCATGGGACAGTTGCTATTTGCCTTGGAACTGCTGGTTCCTGCCAAGCTCAGCCCTTACAAGCATTCAGACTGTGCTCTGGACCTCAGCTGCCTGTTTTTAATCACTTACTCACTCACTGACAATCCCCATTTCTTTTCAACTGGCATGTTGCATATTTTCAAAAAAAAATATTTATAATGGAAAACTAAGTAACAAATAAATATTACTAGCTTGAGTCATGCAGCCAGTGATGGAGTTACAAGCTGGCTTATCATGGCTCCAGCATCCCTGACAATGAAATATACTACGGCCTCCCAGATAGATGCATTCAATATTTCAATTTAAAAAGGATTCTGCTATATCCTTGCTTGGCCTGGAAATGTCAGTAGCAATCCATTTTAGTTTGTTTGTGAGGATTGTTTGGACTTTCCTGAAAGGTGGGATTTTGGACAGCCGTAAATCTGTCAGAAGCTATTATTGGTGTTTATCTGTAAAGCATGATATGAAGAAGAGAGGGAGTTAAATCTATGATTTTAAGGTTAGTGTTTAGTAAGGTTTATGTGATTTAAATGCCACAAAAATGATGACTACAGCAACTTAAAAAAATGGGAGAAAATCTATTAACTGAAATTCTCCTGATTACTCTTAATTTTTTAAAGCCTTTTCTAAGTCAACATAGGGTTTTATGTAAACTCCAAATATCGTATAGCCATCAGTGAGACTTCTAAAAATCCAAATATCACCTTTTTGGCTTTTAAGTATTTTGTGAGGAAATCTGATGTAATTGCTTCATAAAGTGCTGTGGGCTTAAAGTCTTTATAATCCCAAACATCATAAGCCCACTTCAGCAGCATTTTTTCATCTCCAAGAAGCTGGCCATCAATAAAACACATCACATTGGATGGGTATTCCCATGTTTCACCTCTCAGTTCCTGCGATCAGAAAACAAAATGGCAATATTAAGGACTGATACACATATCATAGAAAATCACTAAACATTTTACATTGGTAATAAAATTAAGAATAGATCTGAAAAGATAATGATGAGTTTTTGCTAAAAGATTCAAGTTTGAAAGCATTACATCAGTTGATCAATAAATTTCCTATTTAATTACTGAATTTCTAACCCATCTTTCTGTTTCGTGAACTGTAAATTCACTTTTCATGCATCATACTAAGCCATAAATTGTTCTTTCTGGCTCCTTTTATTGTGGAATTCCAGCTTACAATAAAGCACAGAAAAAGGCTTTTGTCAATTATTCAACAAATCATAATTTAGTATAATATGCTATACTGTTAGACCTCAAACAAACCACTTCTCCTTAATTTGGGCTAATTTGTCCTAATTTGGAAATAGAAGTCATACCATCAGAAATTAGCCAACTATACTTTAGTCTACCACCTTGTACAAACCAATCAGTGTAATTATTTTGCAGTTCAGTGTGGTGTGCAAACTCTGAAATTGGAATAATAAAACTAGTTAACTATAGATAAGCATATTGTAAAAATACAGCCAGAAATAAAATATACCTTCTTTTTTTCTTGTAGATATTCATCCCATGCAAACTGTAATAAAGGAAGTACTTTAGGCTCAGCTATCTTGGTGGGGAAATTTCTCCTAAGGGTCTAAATATGCAAGAGAAAAGTTTTAAAGACTGAGCTATGTTTTATATTTTATAATGGTGCTCCTAAAATACACATAACCATTATAGTCAAGTAGCCAATCATATAAGTTACTTAAGTAACAATATTTTGGGATGGCCTATAAAAGAGGAATTTATACAACTCTACTTGCATGTCATATGTCATGCAACAGTTTTATCATAATGAAGTCAATTTCTCCTGCATTTATTATACAAGAGTAAAATGGCTAAAAATAGTTTAAGCAATGGAGCGGTAGCAGTGAGACTTGCAAGTCAAGAAATTTGTTTTTCATCAAGCATCAGTTCAACTAAATGATCCTTAGTTAGCTTCCATCTCTCTCTACAATATATTTCATTGTATCGCATAATCTAGGAAGTATGTACAATGAACTGACAGATATTTATGATGTAGCATCAGAACTAAGTTTCTGAATGAAGGTCAATATCCTTTCACAGAAAAATATACTCTTGGGAGATATTGATATATGTCAGATTTTAATTGCTTCCCTTTGGGTTAGCCATTTTGTTCATAATGACTCTCCTCCATCCCTACTTCCTTTTCTTTGTAGCCCTCCCAAGATAGATGCCTCTCCACAGTCCATGAAGAAGGCATTCCATCAATGGGTTTAATTGGTTAACATCTTTTTAGTCTACCCATCTAATTAATTCTTGATTTTTTATAATAATGTGTGAGTTGACATGAAGTGGCCTAGGAAAAACAGCCTTTATATAGCTGCTTGAATACTAAAAATAAATATTTATTTTTTGCGTATTTTTTGTGCAGACATAATTCCCTCCTAGAGTGGCATTCTCCACATCTTTACATTTGCAGAGGTTTTCAGCAGCTGAACTAAACATTTGAAAACAAGTCAACTTGGGGGCGGTTTTTTTTCATCTTGAAGGAGGTGAGAGTTTTATTTCTACATAACTGAAGGAAATTTATTTTATTTTATACTTATTTTATAAATTCATTAGCTGCTACAGAAGGCAAGAGGAACACAGAACTAGACAGCTTGTCAGGGGCATTATTTTTTTAAAGTTACAAAACCCTACCTTATAACTGCATACTGACAGCATAGAAGATAGAATCATAGGCCTGGAAGGGATCAAAGAGGTTTTCTAGTCCAACCTCCTCAAGGCAGGAGATCTTATACCATCCCGGTCAAATGATTGTCCAGTCTATTTTGGAAAACCTCCAGTGATGGAGGACTTACAACTCCAGGAGGCAAGCTATTCCATTGATCAATTGTTCTCACTGTCAGAAAATTTCTCCTTCCTTCTAGGTTGGATTTCTCTTCAACTAACTTTCCACCCATTACTTCTTATAACACGTTTAAATCTTGAGCTCAACCGACAATTCTGTTCTGGAAGAATCTACTGTTTGTTCTCAACCTTTGCAATTCCATGTTTGCGGTCTGAAGAGCTCAGGGCAACATTATCAACACAAAGAGCAACAAGGAAAAGAGAAGCAGTTCCCCAAGATGTGAGCAGTGGATCTGCAAGAAGGACCTGAGTCCTGGGAATTACCTCTGCTGCGTGTGCTGCCATGTGAAAGGAAGGTTCGGTGAGCAGGCCCACCACCTCCACTTCTTGAAGCTTTATAGACTGAACACATGGGTTCTTCGACCACATTACCCACAAAGTTTTCTCTCTCTTCTCTTTGCTTTTCAGCCGCCTCACTTCTTCTCAAGCAGCAGCAGGAGAAAAATCAACAAGTCCCCTCACCATAGCAACTCCAATCAGGTGCTACCATTCTCTCCAGCTGGGAGTTCTGCCAGCCAGCGATTGATTCCCAGCAGACTTTTCCCTTATTTAATGCAACATGAAACCCAACCGGTCTGTTTGCAGGTATGTTTAAATCTGATAATTAGCTGTTGTTATTAACCCAGAATGTTGATTTTCCAATGAAATATCGTAATGAGATAGCCGTGTGTTGGCTCATTGAACATGCTGAGCTGTGATACCCACTGAGAAGAAACCAACATTCTTCTTTTCCTTTCCTACCTATACATTTGCATAGGGAATTATTTAAACAGTACATATTGATTAGTGGTGCCCTGTAGAATTAATTTACACAGATGATAATAACATCTGATTAAAATCTCATTAACAACATAAAGTGCTTTTGGGTTGGTGGTGGGCTTCTTTGTTCTTTGATTAGTACAGTTAAATAGATAATTCTTGCCGTATTTAAGCTCCGCTGATAGAAACAACACGTAATGTCACATGCATAAGAATGGAGCTTAAAGTTAATTAAGAAAATAGGATAAACTTAATATGTATATAAGTAATTATGTTATATACCCAAATTAGATCAATCATTGACTGCATGTGATTATGAAATTTTATTTTAAATACTTTTTAAAAATATTAACGTATATACTTGCAGATAAGCCAAACCCAATTTTTAAGGTGCGTTGTGGCACCTCAAATTCTGGTAATCACTTACAGTCACAATTGAGCCCAAAATTTCTGTTGCTAAGTGAGACATTTGTTAAGTGAGTTTTTCCCATTTTACAACCTTTCTTACCACAATTGTTAAGTGATTCACTGCAGTTGTTAAATTAGTAACACAGTTAAGTGAAACTGGCTTCCCTATTGACCTTGCTTGTCAGAAGGTCACAAACGGTGATCACATGACCCAAGGACACTGCAACGATGAGTCAGTTGCCAAGCGTTTGGATTTTGATCACGTGATCATGGGGATTCTGCAATGTGAAAAATGATGGTCATTTTTTTTCAGTGCCATTTGTAACTTTGTTCACTAAATGAATTATTGTAAACCAAGTACTACCTATACAGTAATGAGACTGGAATATTTTCCACTATGGACTGACAACTGTTGCCATCTATACCTACTTGTGTTGCAGCTTCTCAGATACTATCACCCTGTGATCTTGAAATATGCTTGGCTCGCAGACGGTTACTCTGCAGGTTGTTTCAAGTATTATCCTCTTTTTTTTCTTCCTGTTATTCTCATTCACTTAAGACAGTATAGAGAAGATCTCACCACCAGGTAAGGAATATCTATCATGTGGATCTTAATGAAAGTGTGTAGAAACTTTTCTGTTTTGTCATGTTGTTTTACCTAAGTGTTTTAAATTCCTTAGGGATCCTAATGACAGCCATTTCATTCCTGTGAAATTTGCAGACTCCTTGATGTTGACAGCCAGATAAATTTTAAGGGAGAGATTGGTAATGTGGGAAACAGAAGTAAATATTTCAATTGTTGTTGTGTAATACTGAAAAGATACACAAAAGTACTGTATTCCCAAGTAAAACAGGATATCCTACATATGTTTATAATTCAGGAAATCAGTTTTGTTTTTATTGATAGTCAGAGGGAGCTCCAAAAAACCACTGGTTCCTGCTGTAAGGAATGGGGAGGCAAACCCTAATTTACATTTATTGGTAAGTGCTCAGGCAACACTCAGTTTTGGTTGACGTTCAGGCTAATTGGGAACACATAGGCAGGGCAATTATTCAATCTCTCTTTTTCTGCTAGGTAATGTTTTTCTTTAAAAAATAAACAAAAGATAGAAGCTGGAAACTGAACTGAGAATAGAAATGTGGTTCATTCTCCCCAGCAGCCTCAAATAATTGACTGAAATGCAAAGGGATCTGAAAATTAAATGCAGGAATAATTGAGATAGAAACATGTTTCAGGAAGTCATCTTGCAGTATGGCAAGAACAGGGGTGAAATGCTCCTGGTTCGGACCGGATTGCCCGATCCGGTAGCAATGGAGGTGGATGGTTCGGAGAAAAATCCCTGCCCCCCCCCCCAATGGCCAGCTGAGCTGCGCAATCATCAGAGGCTTTTTTTTTTAATTTTTAAAAGCATTTTTTCTAGAACCTCTTTGGTGGAAAAATGCTTTTAAAAGTAAAAAAAAAGCCTCTGATAATCGCGCGGCTCAGGTGGGATCGTCACAGGTTTTTAAAAGCATTTTTTTTACAACCTCTTCGGCCAAAGAGGTTGTAGAAAAAATGTTTTTAAAAGAAAAAAAGCCTCTGCCGATCAGGCAACTCAGCTGGGATCATCAGAGGTTTTTAAAAGCCGAAGAGGTTGTAGAAAAAATGGTTTTAAAAGTAAAAAAAAAAAAAAAAGGTTGGCCACACCTACCCAGTCACATTACCAAGCCACGCCCATAGAACTGGTAATAACAAAATTTACATTTCACTACTGGGCAAGAGCCTTATATTAAAATGTGCCTACTTTTCCAGAAAAGTAGAAAAATAAGGGTGCTAGGAATGATTTGGGAAGGCTACAGGAGGTCCTAGAAAGCATCCTCAAAAATTTGTTGTTGTTAATAGGGTATTTGTGACTGGTCATATCCATCATGGCTGCTCTTTTGTGATAGCATCTAAATATAATCTCAAATTATTATTTGGGCATATGGGGAAATAGTTGAAATATATATTTTATATTTGCACATATGATTATTGCAATTATATTGTAACTTTATATATTTTTCTTAAAACAATTGCATATTTGATTTGTTCTTATTTATACTGCAGAAGCATAGGTTTGACCTGTAAGGAACACATTTCTGACAAAAGAAAAGGTTTGTAACACACAGATAAACCGTGGAAGAAATTTTCCCCCCAGAAGGATTAATGTATGCATTGTGTTTATTTTAAAAGCAATGTAGCTTTATCTTACATAAAGAAGCATTATATTTTAAATGTTTAACTGATGGCACAATTTCATCATTTAGAGCAGAATTATTTCCCGGTTATATGTCTTTTGCCCCTCCTGATATATATATATTTTTCTTATGCAAACCTTCAGAGTTAATTATCTTCACTACATTATTCAATTGGTTTTAAGACACTGAACTTTTTAAAACAACAGATTTATAAAAATCTCAATCAACAACTGAGGGACAAATGAGTACCCTCTCTCCCATGTACAAACTCTTAGCACCTTCATCTCATCCTGTTCTGCATTATACAAAGGTTACCACCAGGATGCTGAAGTAATCCGCAAGGTTTTATCACCAACCAGTGTTTATTACCACAGTGAAGCTTTCCTATATTCAGTAGAATCCATATTGTACAGTTTAGACAGTATGAGGAAAGGAAGAATGGAAGGTATAGTGCACATCTGAGAACAGATGTGCATCACACTGCAATTCCTTAAAGAGAAAGTATGTTCTCTCTTCTTATTCCTTCCTATTTTTAGACTACTTCGGCCTTCGATCAGCTGGCCAGCGCGCAAGCTCACGCAAGAAAATGGAAGACCAGCTCTTCCAGTTTCTGGCACTGCCGCATGCACAAAGGCCAGCTGATCGTCGTGCATGCATGCACGTCAGAAACCTGGAAGAGGAACGGGTGCTGCCACGCATGCACGCAACATGGGTCCATGCGCCACTTCAGGCACGCGTGCCATAGGTTTGCCATCACAGGCCTATGCCCATCTGTTTGGAGATATAACTTTTATTTTTTCTGTCTTTTGAAATTATACATTTACTTTTGCAAAATGTTGCAAAAATTCCTCACGTCTTATTTTACCTATGCTTGTAGAAACCTTCTAATAAAACTGTCTCTCGCAAAGTCTTAATGGACACAGATTGATCCATTTTTTAAAAAAATCCAAACATGAGCTTGCTTTAGCCCAAACTAATGAGCATATAGGAGAAAAAAATACTATATATATAGATATCTATATATAAAATCAGTTGATATATATATACAGTATAAGTCCATTCAGAGGCAATTTTACATCCCATCATTTTCAGTGGAAAAATTAAGCATGCATTGTTTTTTCTCACTGAAATAACAGAGATGGCAAAATGTGTAAGCAGGCTTGTACCATGTTCTTTTAATATTTGATTGCAATTTAGGCAAAATGCATGAGAACACACTGGTTAAAAAGCTATGCTTTCAACATATATCTAAATTGATAAATCTGCAAAGTAAAAATGCATAAACCAATTGCCGTTACGGCAACAATCAACATTACTAGCATGTGAAATTAAATAGGGAATACTATATATATAATGCATTTCACATGAAGGCTCTTCTTTCATCTTGATAAATAAATATATCTAAGAAGGAAATCAGTCTGTGTTTTAAAAAGCCTGCCCTTCAGTGTGATGATCTCGAGATGGCTGGTCTACAGTTAGAGGCTGTTAAGCTGAATTGGAGATATGTACAGTTTGGGTCTGTCCCTTGCTAATTTGAGGAGGTAGAATTGTATCTTGACTGATGTGAAACCGTTGGTTAGGTTCTTGGGCCATCTGCAGATGCGGGGTTGGATGCGATGTTCCTGCAGCTATTTGAAGCACATCTGCTTGACTCTGATTGGCATGGAGATGTTCCAGAGCTTCTTTGGACAGTGTGATAACATGCATTTGTTCAGTCTGGGGAGAATCCATTGAGTCACTCACAATGCTGATATTCTGAATCTGGTCTGTGGGTTCTGTTTGGCCTGAAAGAATCAGGTTCTGCAGCTGCTGTGATGGCTGAGTGAGAAGAGTAAGGCTGCCTGTGTGCTCTGTCATCACATTTTGGGAATCATCTGAAGTGACAACACTAATGCCTTGATTATGGCTGGGCACAAAGTTTATGTTGTGCACCGAATCTGTCACCAACAGCTGAATCTCCTGGGGTCCAGAGGTAGAAAGTTGATACTGCTGCAGCTGAAGAATGTTCCTGACGTCCTCTGTGCTGCTACTGTTGGATGAAGTGTTGGCTTCCTGTAGCTGCTTCTCTTTGATATGAATTTTCAAATGAGATTTCAAATTGTCTAAACGTGCAAACTGCACACAACACTCTGAACAAGAGAAAGGTTTTTTGCCGGTGTGCAAGATACAATGTCTCCTTTTGGCGCTGGAATCGGAAAAGGATTTTCCACAAATACTACACGAATATGGCTTTTCTCCTCTGAAAGAGAGGACATCTGGTTTGATCACATATGTCAATATTTTGCGAAGCATGGATGTTATTAAGAACCCAAAGCATTATTCAAATATCACAGCATTAAAACTGAATGGCAGATGGATTCTCTCTCTCTTCCTTCCTATGAAGTACACTTACTCAGGTAAGTGATATGTAAATAAATGGAAGCCATCTTACTTTCTTATCATGCAGTGTAAATCATTACTGTATGATAGAATGAAACTCTGAAATCCTGTTGCTGCTCATGATGCCTCAACATGATTGGTAGCTAGTTTGCCAATCTCAAAAACTATTGGGCAGGAGCGTAGATATATGGCGAGACAACTGGGCGCGTCTAAACCCATTTTACTCTTGCCATTTATACTGCAGTAGCCATGTTTGTTTCTAATCATATTCCAATATGTCTACCCCATAGAATAACAGTAATCAAACTACCATATGTTGAGGCAGCAGGTGAATAAGTCTGTCATTAAGATGACATGGTAATACTATTCTTTTTTATCCATTTTGGGGATTTACATTGGTGCAACTGAGGTAATAAGTGAAAACATATTAACATAGTAAATAGAGAAAAATTCCACACAGTCACAATTTTTCTGTATAGCTTCCTATCCCTTTACTATTGAGCTTTCAAAAACTCTTAGGATTGTCAGCTTTCTCTGCTTTTATAAACAGATGATGATCTGTAGGTGCCCCATAAAAACAAATTTCAAAGTTTTTTTAAAAAGACATTACTATCCATTTCTAAAGTACATATACTCTCAATCTGTAATGGCAAACTTTTTTTAACCAAAAGAAGATAAATTAAAACTGTATGCCTTGTGTCATCTATAATGAGAAACCCAGAGTTCATTTAAAGCAGGACCCAATAGAGGTCATTGTTTTTGGGGTTTTTTTGGCAATATATATTCAATAATGTGACAGTGCTCATTAGCTTTGGGCTAAAGACTAAGTATAATGTGCACCAGTGATTAAAAATAATTTGCTTAAATATTCACAATGATGTAGACCAGGTGTGACTGGCCCACGGGCCACATGCAATCCTGAGCAGCTAGTAATGCTAGCAATGCAGTCCAGCTAGATCATAAACTTTTAACATCATGTGATTTTATATTATAAAACTATGTTATATCAGGCTCAAGACAATTTCTCTTCACTCAATGCGGCCCAGGCAAGCCAAAAGGTTGTATACCCATGGTGCAGGCAATCAAAATTGTCAGCATACAGCATACCATGAACTGAATTTACAAACTATGATCTGTAATTGCAGCAGACAATAAAACTGTATTAATAGCCTCACTCGAATTATTTCCCATAAACTGGTTTCCATGCAAAATCACAAAGAAAGAAAAGGGAAGGAGATACCTGTGAATTCTGATATGTGTCTGAAGAGAACTTTTTGCTGTAAATGACTTGCCACAGATTTCACAAGTAAATGGCTTTTCACCTATAAAAACTTGCTGATTAGTATATAGTAATTATCTCTTATTTAAAGAACAATTAAGAGACTTTGACTTATAAATAGACTCTAATGAATGAAACAACCAAATCTCATGCTAATTCATAACTATTAGGGTGAATAAATAATGAATTGAGATATGAACATACAAGAAAATACTGAAATTTTTTTGGAGGACAATGTTTTTCTCTTCAGTCTTCTTTAACTGCTCCTGCTCTAAAAAATTAGGGGGGAAAGATTATGAAATATATCATATTTTAATGTAAAATTATACATAAAATGGATAATACTGATTTTATTTCCTTTTAATAATCTGCTCATGGTTTTCAGCCATAATCATTTGCCTTCTGATAAAAAAGCAGGAGTTCTATTTCCTACCAGCCAAAATTTCTCGAACAGTAGCAGCAGTTTGACAGTGGAAACCAATTATTCAAATGTAATAAGTTGGCCTTCACTGAATGTACTGAAGTATCCATCAGTTTAGATTCCTGCGAAATCAGCAGTAGGACTCCCACACTGGGCTGCAAAACTCCAGAGGACTGCCTAATATGGCAGCTAAAGTCCATGATCTTAATAGCCCCTACCAATTCTTTTACTGTAAACTTTGCACCGTATTGATTCAGCACCACACAGTTTCATTGTTAAAGATTAGAATCCATTATAAGATCATTTATTATCTACAGATGAATGCTGCTTACTTGGATGTTCCTACCTAAATAATATATACTGCCAGCTTTTTTTCAGAAAAGAATAGAAAGCAGCATTACCTGTATGTGTTCTTAAATGTTTCTTTAATTGAGCTGTATCCATGAATTTACGATGACAGAGGATGCATTCTGGCAATGAATGGCCTGATTATGTAAAATGAAAAATAAATTATTATTTTTCCCAAGTGTGTCTATTTCATTTATAATTTTTATCTTAACATGTCGGTGGTTAATAATAAATTAAGAAGTTTACAATTCTAATACAACTGAAACCAAAGTAATGCCACAATTGATGGAAGCATTATAGAGAACATTTAGAAAATTAAAACATGGGATAATGGTTCCATCAAATGCTAGGCGAACTGACATCTGCTTGCATGGTGGATTTCTCTACTTTCCTTTCACATGCACTCCAATTACTTCCAGATTTGGGAGGTGTGCGAGGGATGAAGGAGGAATCTCTTATGGTGACTAATACTGTTGTATCAGCAGATGACTACTATTGCATGTGTCCCTATATTCTTCTAGTTATTGCTCATCAGTACATTTGCAATTATACTTTTTCCAATATAATCTTAGTAACTTAGTAACTAAACTATTACATTAATGAAACAAGCTTGTACTATAACATAATAATGCCAAAGTTAAGCTGGTGGTCCAATTCACAGCAGCAACAACTCTATTTTTCTAGCTTCTTCATATGCAGGAATTATCCCTTTACTATCTCTATCGTCAATCATAATTTTTAGCTTATTATGAATTGCTTCCTTTCAATTGTGTATTTTCAGCAGAAAATATCCCCAACTCCTCAAACACAGAATATTTTAATTTTTTGTATTATCACATTACTCATATAATAATTCTGCAAAATGATCAGATGGCACTAACAATGTGCTGAAACATTTATGGAATGCACAATAAACAAATATATAGCTATTGGTTATGAATCAATAATTAAACGTACAAGAAAACCTCAACATTTCCTAGCAAATTGTAGTATTCTTTAATTCATTATACCTGTGTGAACTCTATAGTGACTTTTAAGTTGCCTTCTCTGGCTGAAGTATTTTCCACACTGGTCACAGGTAAAAGCCTTCTGACCTGAAAAGAAAGAGGGGAAAACAGAGAAACTGTAGTTATTTATTTGTACTTATGGTAATCTGAGCAGCCATCTGTGAATTCACACCTAGTTATTCTGATCTTGCATAGCAACTCAGTTGAAATATTCCAGAGTGCAGGGAATTCTGACAAGAACCCTGCCATTACAAAGTAGGGCATCATCCAAAACCCTGTTCTTAGGACTGCCATAAAAGGTTGAAACCAAGGTGATTATTCATAGTGGCAGGTAGGATGAATGAGGTATATTGTTTATTGTAAAATGGAACAGCAGATTAAATATGAAGTGGCAATTTGGTTCAATTATGAAAATAACTGAAACCAAGAGACAAAATTGAAATGTTAAAAAGTGTGATGGGGATTTTGAAAAAATATGTTGTAAATGATGAAATAAAATAATTAATTGATGCTATAGTAAGAAATCAGGAATTAGGGGCAGATAGTGATATTGCTTATCATGTACTAAGAAGAGATTAAGATAAGATGTGGAAGGTCAATTAAGTTAAAGGGTTTCAATATAATAATTGAATATGATAAAGTACATTATTCATAGCCAAAAAGTGTGATGGGGATTCTGAGAAATATATTTTATAAATGGAGAAATAAGATAATTAATTGATGTTACGCTAAGAAATTAGGAATTGAAGGGCAGATGGTGATACAGTTTATATATTATGTATTAAGAAGAGATTAAGATAAGATAAAGAAGTAGGGGAAAAGAATATTATGGCAGAAATTGAGATTGTAAATTGTACTTGGAAAAAACAAAAAGGAAGATTGGAATAGATGATAAAAATCAATATATAACTATGTTATAAGAAATATAAGATGTGACCCGGTCAACACTCTGTTCATAAAATATGTATGTGAAAGAAAAAATTAATAAAACTTGTTTTGAAAAAAAGAAAAAAAAAAGAAATAGCAAATACTGGAAAATGAAACATTTCCTCAGAAATACTTGATAATATTTCACATTTTGTACGTGGACTTCCATTTACAGAACATTACATAAGCAGATTTCTATTTACCTCATTTCTGCGGCCACCACCACATTCTCATTACTTATCTCTGTTAATTGATTTTGAGAGCATGTAGTAGTTAGAAGAGGGAGGAGGAATTTCTCTTGTCTCGTTCTTGGAACAAGAAGAGTAGTAAAGCCTTGAATACCAGTGGATTATGGGTGCTATATCCAATGTACCTTATTCAAAGGAAAACACACCAGGGACTTCTACCATTAATGTGAAATTGACATAGAATTTATTCCACAGGGAAAAATCATGAGCTATAAAAAGCTTTCTATAACTGAATGGAAAGATCTAGTCTTATGGATTAATGTATAGCCCCTATGAACTACAGAAGTATACCTTATAAAAAAACCAGACACTAAGGACAAAATATTGGGGTCAGCTATAATTTCCAATTCCTAAAACGAGTTCTCCGAAGTGTCAAACATACTCTTACTGAAATAATGCAGGTATACTCATTCTAATCCAGCCAGGGATTATTTTTTTCACTTTACAATTTTAGCCTAATGAGTGGCTTTTGATCTTACCTGTATGAAGACTCATGTGTTCCAGGAGAGAATGTTTTGTGGTTAAAGCCTTATTGCAAACTGTGCAAGCATATGGCCGTTCCCCAGTGTGCATCCGCTCATGGACTTGGAGAGAGTGCTTCTGGGAAAAGCCTTTGCCGCATTCACCACATTTGAATGGGCGCTCTCCTGAAAACAAAAGTATGGCACTGTGAATGGGAAACAGACATTTCAAGCAGATGGAGCAGTACTTGAAATAACAACATGCATCATTTAATTTAAATCAGAAGTAATTTTTCAATACTACTACAGTTTGAAAATACTACAAAGGCAGAAATGTTGATGGTAAAATTAAGTGTTTCTACAAAAGGGCAATTTTAAGAATTTTAATTCGAGTAGCACCCAACTTTCTTCATCTATATTCTGCTGTAATTATTTATATAAATAACTGTAGTCCATGAAGATACCTAATATTCTTTCTTCTCCCATTTTTTGCCACAACAATCCTATAAGGTGGGTTAAGCTGAGAGAGATTCATTTGCCCAAGTCACCCAGTTGGCTTCGTGCCTAAATTGGGTACTAGCATTCCTCGTCTCCTGGTTTCTATGCTGGTGTCTTAACCAAAAGGAGATAGATAAACCAAGAAAACAAAAGTGTTCCTTTTTTGAGGCTGTATTGAAAAATAGAAGCACAAGGATTCCTAATTCACAGTGCAGAACTACAAGAGCTAATTACTCACGTGAATCCATGAGTAGATGCACAGAGATAAAATCTCCCATCAGTCAAGTCTAACACTTGAGGACTTGAGGACAAGTCCACTTTATTTTAAGTAACAAAAACTTTCCTGTCTGGTCTACAATGCAGGAATTTCCTAGTGATCTCTCATTTAAATACTAAGCAAAACCTGCATCATTTTTTCAGGCTTATACATGAGTCACTAATTGCAGCCAATTACTGTGACTTAACATATATGCAAGCTCTTAAATTTTGTAGCAATATGAAAATATACCAGTTTACCATAAAGCAGGTGTTGGGAATAGTTAAACATTTGGGTGGGTGGATGGGTGAGTAAGTAGGACAGGGCGCTTGTCAAGTTTTTCAACCTTAAAACTAAGACCTCTGCATCCATCTGTTGCAAGAAAAAGATAAGACAATCCTAGAGAAACCATTATCCTCAGAATTTTTCACCACAGACTGAAGATCTAGCCTTTCATATAACCAAAGGCTTAAAAGTCTAATGATTTCACATCACCTGTTTTATAAGACTTGGTATAATTTCCATTGAATATTTTACAAGGCTCCTGAGCCTGATAAATGGATTCTTAAAAACAATAGTTTAAGAGAGCCAGTTTGGTCTAGTGGTTAAGGCACTGGGCAAGAAAGTTGGAGACTGTAAATTCTAGTCCCGCCTTAGTCATAAGTCAACTCAGTGACCTTGGGACAGTCACTCTCATTCAGCCCAACGCACCTCATGGGGTTATTGTGGGGAAAATAGGAGGAAGGTATGTTGGATATATTTGCCGCCTTGAGTTCTTTGTAAAAATAATAAAGGCAGGATACAAATAAATAAACAAACATAAAAATTAAGAGAAAATTAAACTACCTTAAACATTACTGTTTAATTTTGACTTTTCCTCCATTTTGTATGTAACTTAAACAAATATAGTCACTGAAGATTAGGCAGCTGATTTTCAGGCACAATTCTTTGGACAAGCTAGCAAATGTATTTTTTCTTCCAGCTTTTTGGAAGATGAGACATGTGTGTTGGATCATTCTGAGAAGGATTTTCAAAAATCGTACTGTAGGTTGCTAAGGAGATTCCAATTTCTATCAATGCAAGTTTTAATTTTTAATTATAAATGTAAACATTATTGCTTAAACTAATAAATATTGCATATGAAAGTTTTTAAATAATTTTATTATCGGCAAACAATGAGGAAAAGTTTTGGGAGACTCATGATTTACCTGTATTATACCACTGCTGCGCAAGCTGCGTTGACTTCTGGATTCCTTTGGGGTACAATTCAAGGTGCTGGTTATCACCTTTAAAGCCCTGTAGGGCACAAGGCCAGGTTATACGAATGGCCTTTTTCCCTTAGAGGACATCTACTTTTCCTATTAGATTGGACAGGATGGGCTTACTCCAGGTCTCCTCTACTCATTTGCTGGGATCTAGGGAACAAGCCTTTTCCATAGCTGCATTTACCCCATGAAGGGCCATTTTCCTCTTTGTCTTCTGGAAGGCTGTTAAGATCAAACCTTCAGATGTTGGGCCAGAATGGGAAGTGAGCTCAGAATTTGTGATGTTGAGAAGATAGTGTTATGGTGTTTCGTGGTATGTAATATTTTTTAACCATATGCATTTTATTATTTATATATCTGATAGTAAGCCATCTAGGTTATTTTATACGATATGAGTGGCCGTATACTTTTTAAAATAAATAATAAATAAAAGTTTAGATTTATTCATTTCCCCAACTATTGGTTGATCATTTATACATTATATTAATCTTTCAATCACAGTTTAATAACAAGTAGAGTGCTTGTAATATTTTGCCCTAAGATTGAAAAGAAAACTAACCTGTATGACTTCTTCGGTGTATAGCTAAAAAATGATTATATTTAAAGACTTTCCCACAGTCTTTGCACTCAACTTCAGAACCAGTACGTTTTCTTCTGCCATTGGCCCTTTTTGACAGCCCACTGTCCTCTTCATCACCAATAAGTTTATAATCTTTTAATTTTATTGACCGCCGTATCCTACGTTTGCTGTAACGACTCTGAGTGATCTGTGTATTTTGGCACTTAGGATCATAGTTCTCATCCTTTTCTGTTGAGATGCTTACCACAGCTTCTGTCCTACATATTTCTCTTCCCTCTCCACTTACAGGAATGAGTTCATTGGTATTTCTGTCTTCTACCACAGCCTCCCGTTTTATAAAATTTTGCTTATTATGAACCGAGTTGTTCTCTTTTAATTGCACATCTTCAGCTGAAAGGGATTCCAGTTTTTCTTCCTGAATGTTCTTCACTTTTCTTGGTCTTCCACGCTTTCGCTTTGGTGGATCTTCACTTTTCTTTGCTAAGACAGTTATTGGAGTTTCAGCATTAGAAATTCCAGATAATGCGTTTGTTAAGCTGCAGTTCCTCTCTTGCTCTGTATATGCTCTAACTAGATCATTCACTTTGAGGAGATGAGCAGTAGCTAAAATCTGTTCTATACTTTTTTCACTAGCTTGTAGGCAGCCTGTGTAAATAAATTCCAATAGTACACCAAAAGCATCTGCTACCATCCCTTCCAGCATGTAGATTGACTGGCCAATCTCGCCCTCTTCAATGAACATCATGGAAAAATATTCACTGCTGGCAGCAAGTAATGCCTTATGGGCTCTAAAGTGAACATTTTCTACAATTAAAGTGATGTCACACAAAAAATCTTTTTTTCTCTGTTCCTCAAATTTAATCAGGATAGTGTCTCTGTGAACCTTGGAGTGGATTGCTATAAGTTTCTCTGAAGAATTAGATACAACTTCATCCATTATTGCTAAAGACAAAGGGAAAAAAAGAAACTAAGATTCAAAGTGCTCCAAGACAAATGGAAAATACTTATTTAAGTACAAGGGACATATGCTGGTCTATTTGAATGACATTACACAATGCCCCGAAACTGCCAACTTTCAGTGTTATTCAGGCTAGCCAATATAATTCTGAATTACCGTATTTTTTGGAGTATAAGATGCATCAGAGTATAAGACGCACCTTAGTTTTTGGGGAGGAAAATAAGAAAAAGGCTGGTTGGCAGGTGGATCGGCCTCCTGGAATACCCCCAATCAGCTGTTCCCAGAGGTGAATTTTAGCAACAGGTTCCTTGGTTGTGAGCTCTGTGCCTTGCCTTTTTTTTCTGCCTCTGAAACTCTGTTTCAGAAAAAACTTTTTTTCCTGCCTCTGAAAGCCTCAGAAACAGAGCTTCAGAAAAAAAAGCCTCTGAAGCTGTTTGGGGGCTTCTTTTCTGAAGCTTCGTTTCTGATGCTTTTTTCAACCTCTGAAACCTCCCTTTGAGAAGCTGAGCGGGGCTACATTCGGACTATAAGACGCACCCTATAAGATTTTCACCCTCTTTTTTGGGGGGGAAAGGTGCGCCTTATACTCTGAAAAATACGGTAAGCATCCTAAATAAGGGCCTCATTTAAATACCAAGTTTTAATAGTTATTTAATTAAGTTAATAATTAAATAGTTTTAAAAATTGCATAAACATTGACACCAACATAGCAAAAAGAAGAACTCTATGACAAGATCCTCCAAAGTTTGAAAGAGGAAGGCAATTTTCATGAATTTGCCACCTATTTTTTGTAATGCCTTACCCCTAGAAACTCTGTTTTGGAAAAGTGGGGGGACTCTCCAGAGAAACATGGGAAATGGCAGTGGGGGAAAGCAGTAATACATTTCACCTCTTTTCTTTAAACTTATGGAAGCACCTAGTTAGTGGAGTCAGCCATAGAATAAATCCTTTCACTTAGGGATGAGTATGTATGTATTTATAAAATTTATTGGACGCCCATCTTACCATAAGATAACTCTGGGCGCCTTACAGTCACAAAACTATACCTGCATTAAAACATAAATAAATTAAAACTCAGAATTAAAATCTAAGCACATGTGGGGAGGGCAGAGGCGGAATGGGTGGAGGTGGGATCTGTTGTTACTCCATCAACCTCTTCCACTATGCTGTTCCCCCATCGGGCCTCCAGGCCAACCAGCAGAGCCCTTTAGGCCCTTTCGAAAGGAGGGTTGGGACCAGCCTCACATGGGGAACAGGTGTGTGTAAGATGCTGTAGAGGACAGGAGCAATAACAGAGAAGGCCCTCCTCCTGGACCCCTAAGTAAATTGGGATGCAAACCCTTTGGCTGAAATTTTAGCTCCATTTATTCATACAGGTATTTCTACACAGGCACACAGATGTACATGTACGCACAGAGGGTTTGCACTGGGGTTACCAAGAACAGAATACCATTCAAATTAGACAACTTGAATGTAATACAGTACATATGTATTAAAGTTTGACTTCTAATTAGCTGCCAATTATAAGTAGACCTCAGGACTTATTCCTAAGTATATATTTGTGACTAACAAGAAAGGGTTCTTTCAAATCAACAAAGGCAGAATTCTGATACGAATGTAAGTTTTTTAAAAGCATTATTGGAGATAAGGTAAATAAAAATGTGATCTAGTGAGAAATTATATATATTCAAGCTTTTTTTTTTTTTTTAAAAAATAGAAATCTCAAATTTAGCAGTGATGCAATTGAAACTTGCAAGACAGATATCGTCCAGATCTATTTTTTGTACTTTTTAACACATGGGAATGATTATATTAATGTCCTGGTCAATAGGAAACTGGCCAGTGTTGTCACAATGTACAAAAAGCACCTCTCTTTGTTTAAATAGTGCAACTGTACCTTTTCCCATGCTTGCTGTTGGCTTTTTCCACATATCTGGGAAAAGGTGTGGCTACTTTATTGTTTTGAAGTAAAGTGCTTTATTCAGATTTCTGTCTATTGCATAGTTACTCTTTCAAAGGCTTTGCATAGTATTACTGGCCAGTATCACTGACGTAAGAACCACTTATAATAATAATAATAATCTAAGGTCAACTGAGCCTCAGGCAGAAATCTATAATTTTTTTTCAAATAAATGCTGATGTAGCCACTTTTTCTAAAACCACTTAAGAAATCTTTTACAGGGCCTGTCACAGAAGTATGTTTGTTTTCCAATATTTTTTGAAAGTTGAAACTAAACAGGATATTTATAGGCTACTCGTTCCATTAACAGGCTTTTCTCTTAGATAATGTGTATATACAGTTTTGTGCCACATCCAACTTTTCCATAGAATCATATTTCTAATTGAACAGTAATTTTCAATATTGATTTAATGCATTGTTTATTCTGGGATTTGTACTACACTAGCTTAACATGTTCAATTGGGATGCTTTTACGCTTTTCTTTTTTTACATTTTCTTTTTTATTTACATTTTTCTATGAAAATTAAAAAATGACTTTTATTTCCTCCCATGTTAAACATCCCTAAGAACATTAAAACCATGTATCACGCTATATTCCACCGTTTACTCTGTACCATACTTTCCCTTCCAGCTTAAGATGCCATACTGCGTGATTTCATGGATACATGAAGAATAAAAAATAAATTTCTTTTTCTACAATGAGACAATTCCCCCTATTTGTTTCAAAGCTTTTTGCAGAAGCAAAAAAGAAGACCCAATTAGAGAAAATAAGGGGAAAAAAAATATGACTGCTCTTTCAAAGATCTGCCTGTTATGCCCATTTCCCTTTGCTCTCCTACTTAAAACAAAAGAGGAGTCACGACTGCAAAGCGAGACAAGGCAGAGAAATAATGAAATAAAGGGAAAGGGATGAAAAAAAACCGAACCGCGATGCCCGCTTTATTTATTTATTTTCCTCCCGCCAGAACTTTCCTGCCTTTCACAAGCTGCGAGCGAAATTCAACAGGTGACGCTTTTTTTTTTTTCATCTCAACCCAACTGGGATAAATAAACACGAGGTTTCGGGGTAGTGAATTTCTCCCCCTCCAACACCCATTGGAAGTGCCGTCCTTCCGACGATCGTTATTTACCAACCTAACCCATTTACCCAAAATAAGCATCGGTAGCGGGCGGAATGAAGCAGAAATCCCGGCCATCCCGTAATAATCCATAAAGAGAAGACCCAGAGGAAGAGTTGGAACCCCCCAAACGCCTCTATCGCGCCGTTCGTCTAATAACTGTCAACGGAAGACCAAGGACTTTCTCTGCATAATCTCTTAGACGTCCAGGGGGGCGGAGGGGGAGGGGGAAGAGAGAGAGAGAGAGAGAGAGAAAAAAAAAGTCAGCGATGAAGCCGGACTCACCCTCGGACTGCGAAAGCTGCAGATACGGAGCCCCGCAACAAGGCGGTTGAAGGCATACGCCGGAAGCGGCAGGCGCGTATCCCGGAAGTGAGGTCACAAGACGAGGGAGGAGGGGGACAGAAGGGTGGGGTGGAGTTCGGGCGTAGGAAGAAGGTAGGACGGTTACGAGTTCGTTGCCCTTAAGCGACAGGCGGGCGATGCCCTTCTGTCCAAGCCGCCGTGTTCTGGGATTGGAGGATCCGGACTGTGTGCCGATTCGGATTTCCCAGCAGGAAGATAGCAAAAGCATTTAGCAATCCCAAAGGTGCTTTTTCTGGAGGCGGCTGGACTTGGTTTTTTTTTTTTTCCTTTTGAAGACGTTTCGCTTCTCATCCAAGAAGCTTCTTCAATTTTGACAGGATAGTGGGGAATGGAAGGATTTGTATCAGTGGAGGGTTTCAAATTTTTTTCCTACCGGTTCTATGGGTGTGGCGTGGTGGGCGTGGCGTGGCGGGCGTGGCTGTAAAATCTCCCATTCCCTCCCACTGCAGGGGAAGGTTATTGCAAAATCCCCATTTCCTCCCAATCAGCTGGGACTTGGGAGGCAAAGAATAGATGGGGGCGGGGCCAGTCAGTATTTTTTCTACCGGTTATCCAAACTACTCAAAATTTCTGCTACCGGTTCTCCAGAACTGGTGAGAACCTGCTTGAAACCCACCTCTGATTTGTATTCCTTGCAGATAAGAAAAAACAAGGAAGTCCAATTGCCTCCTGAAGAAAGCACCTTTGGGACAACCATGACCTGGATGACTGAGGTTAACTCTGCTGACTGCCAGGGGCTTGATCCTCTGTAACCCGCTTAGAGGGCACTGTAAAGCACTATGAAGCTGTAGATAGGTCTAAGTGCTGTTGCTAAGTGCTACAAGTCTGTAGAGATTCTCAGTCATCCAGGTCATGCTTGTCCCAAAGGTGCTTTTTTCAGGAGACAACTGGACTTTACAGTGCCCTCTAAGCACTTTACAGAGTCAGCATATGGCCCCCAACAATCTGGGTCCTCATTTTACCGCAAATTGGATCTTCATTTTACCGATCTTGGAAGGATTGGAAGGCTGAGTCAACCTTGAGCCGGTGGGGATCAAGCCCCTGGCAGTCAGCAGAGTTAGCTTGCAATACTGCATTCTAACCACTGTGCCACCATGTCACCTCTGCCCCACCGTGGCTTTTGAAAATAATGATCAAAATGTGGAGTGCAAGGGTTCTGTATCTCACTCAACCATGCTATCTAATTTTTTGCCAAACACATTGCTTTTTTTCCAAATTGAACGAAAACATTGAGAAAATTCTAACCATATCTATGGAGATTCTAAGTCATCCAAGTCATGGTTGTGCCAAAAGTGTTTTTTCTGCAGATGCTCCTTGGCTGAGAAGGAAAATGTCTTCAAGAGAAGAAACAGGAAGTCCAGTTGCCTTTTGAAATAGCACCTTTGGGACAGTAGGCAGAGATCGCATGGGACTCTCCAAGCTGGCACCCTTTACTAAGGGTGTCCAATAACAAACTCCAAAGACAGGCCACTGGGTATTGGGATGGCAGGCGTATAAGTACAAAAATATTCTTGGCACTAAGAATGGCAAACACATGGAGTCCGGGTGTTTTGTGATGGGGCATTTGTAACCGAAATGGTAGCAGTAAAGGAAAACTTCCAATTTTTCCCATTTTAGGGGGAGGATTTCCTCCCCTTAAAAGTTTCCAGATTGACACCATGCCTATTCAGGACATTTTACTGTTTTACTGAGGAAAACAAATGAAAAGAATAGATGCACAAAATAATTGCAAAGTGCTTCCCAACTGTTGACACGGAGATCTTTGGAAAAATTCTCTGTTTGGTATCTGAGTTGCACTTAAAATATAGTTCCCTAAGATAACATTTGAACAACTACTTTTTGCCAAGTATCTTCAGATGGGTTTTATTTGATTGCTGTTTATATGCGGCTCCATTCCAGAATGGTTTTGTACAGCTGAGAAAGTTGTTCAAACTGCTATGTGTGTTTCCACTGCCAGTTCAGCTAGTGCTGCAACAACCAAGCAGCCCTGAGCCATTTGCTAATTAACAATTTATTAAACTAGCTGTTGACATTTTAGCTTAATATGTTGCACAAATCTGTCTACGTTGTTAGCTTATGGCTTATGGTATTGGACAAACACATAAACTGATTTAATTGAAGGATCCTCGGTGCTCTCTGAGTTTGGTTGTTTTTTTTGCAGACGTTTCATTATCCAAGCTAAGTAACTTCTTCAGTGCCACTAGCACTGAGGATGTTACCTAGTTTGGGTAATGAAATAACTGCAAGAAAACAACCAAGCTCAGAGAGCACCGTGGAACCTTCATTTCAACTGTGAGCTACAAATATTCTCCTTTATTGATACTGATTTTATTGAGTAAACTATAATGGTTTATTCAGTTGACTGATCCCTAAGCCTGATTTGTACTGATTAATAGAGCTTTGTGTCTGTGTTGACCCTACTATTTCAGATTGGAGGGGAAGTCATATAATTGCTAATATTCAGGTTTCAAATGGAAATATCTGATAATGTTTTCTTCATGCCGTCTGGTTTTTCCTATGGAAGATTTATTTTTGAATTGAAGAGCATTCAACTATACGAGCCTCTGCTTGCCGAAATGGTACAGACCTCATTCACCAATCTCAGTGAAGACAAGTCTATACCAACTGCTAATCTGATTAGTCACTGAAGTGAGGAAAACATGGTATTAAGACAAGCCATTTGAAAAACCACCGTTTTTAAAGGCATTGTTTATAATAAATATTCATTCAGAATTTTTCCAGTTTTCCATTCTATCAAGGGTAAATAGGACAAAAATATGCAACTGACTGTATTGCTCCATTGTGCTTAGTATAGAGTTGCTGAAAGGATATACACAGTAGAATGAGATTACGCTCAAACTATTCAAAAGTGTAAAATGAAGCAATTACTCATATTTATTTAGAGCAGGGTGGGAAAGAAACAATAGCAATGACCTGAATGTGGATTCTTTCAAATAACTACATATAGAAGTTAATATTTCACTAGTTAACAAAAGTAACAAATTTAAACCACTACAATAACAACTGAAAGCCAAGATATCTCAAATTTATGACATATCTCATAATATCTCAAATTATCTCAGATCTTTATATTTAAATAAACTAAATATTTAAGTACAGTAATGTCGAACAATAATGATTTAACAAATAGCTTACAGCAGTTAAAGTTCTATCTTTAACCACTGAAGAATATTGATATACCCACAATTATAAACATATTTTCTTAGAAGTAGACTTAATAAAAACAATCTTTACTAAATTCCTTGCAAAATTAGGACTATAGGGCAATTTACAAATATGTTTGTACACTCAGTTTTACAAAGTGCATTTTGCAAACCATCCTATAGGAAACTACAGTATTGCCTCATTTAGACTTGCAACAAGCCAGTGACATGAGCTTATCTTGATCCGTTCTGTAATCAGGCAGGTTCTAAAAAAAACATATAAACAACCATTTTTGTATAATTTAACAGTCAAATATGAATATATCACTTTCCAGTATTTTTGCAATATTTCACACTAATAGGAAGTTGGGTCCACATCTTTGAGAGACAAGAAAGTCTGTAATTTGTGATCAAAATCAATAGGTCGATTTTGAGGCTCCTTGTACTTCTTTGTCATTTTGATGCCTAGGTATGGGATAAGTTCACAATGGTCTATGAACCGTTCCAACTTCATTTTATACTTCTTTCGTATATAGTCTGGGCTGTTAGGGTTATATGCTGTAAAAAATTAAATACCATTAATTACCCATCATATTTCAGAATTCACATTACTATTATTCCAATATCCAAAGTCACATAGAATCAGTGGTGGGTTGCTACCGGTTCCCCCAGTTCGGGCAAATCGGTAGCAGTGGCAGGAGGCTCCGCCCACCCGCTTGGATGTCATCAAATACGCTCTGTGCATGCACAGAAGCAAATACGCTCTGCGCATGCGTGAGTGAACCAATAGCAAAGGTAAGTGAAACCCACCACTGCATAAAATGCATGCACATACTATGTTTCAGTGGTTCCCAATATCTCACTACATGTTTATTTAACTATTTTTAAAACTTGCATCCATATACTCCTAGGAAAACTAGCCTCTGGCAATTTACAACAGTAGCTACTGTAGTGGTAACTTCTAATATTGAGTTCTTGCTATGAGAAAAGTGCTGGAAGTAAAGAAAAATGGATAATGAGCATAAAAATTAAAAATAGTTCAACTTGCTTGTTTTTTCACATATTTTCTCCATACCACCTTACACATTAACAGGCTAAAAATTCATCTTTAAAGGCAATGAGACTGCTGCTCTTATTTTTAGTTTTTAGATGCAATCTATATAATAATTTTTTTAAAATTACAATTATGAACCAAAACCATAAAAACAAAAGCAATTGTTGTTCAAGTAAATCTAATCAAATTATACTGGATTTAACTCTTGGAATGGAGGGAAAAAATACAGTAAAATCAAGAGGAAATTCTTTTCCCTTCAATTTTCTGTTCCGTATTGAATTTTTTTTCAGATTCAGATAAATACAAGTTTTACTTCTTATCAATTTCATGTGCAACTATATTTTTTTATAAGGTTGCACGGCCCATTAGTGGACAATGAGCTGTTTCAACCGAGCCACAGAAACATCAGGTAAGCGCATATGTGTATCCCCACTTGTGTGAGCAGTGGGTGAGCATGTGCATGCGCAGTCCATTTATATGCCAGCCACTCACAAGGAACCATCCCCTCTTCCGGTTCACAAAGCTGGAAAAGTTGGGGAACTCTGCATTAGATCACCTCTTGATTATTTTTTTCCCCTTAACGGTCTGCTTCTGAGCGTTCATATTATGGATTTGGTATTGCCTAAATGTTCCTTTGTTTCATTATTCCTTTATCGATATGATGCTTTCATTATGCATCTCTCTATTTAGAAG